TCTGTCCGTGACTGTATTCCAAACTCATACCGTGATGTGACACGCACACACATTTGCTAAATGACCGACAATGCTGGACAAGGGAGTGTCCCTTGTAACACAACCACTTACAAACCACTTACAGTATGTCTAGGAGAGAACAGGTTTCAGGTTCTAAACTACAGGCAATTATCAGTGGGAGTCCAACACAAGTTTACATAAATCACAGGCTCGATTCTGCTCTGAGGACGGCCAGAGAGCATCTGTCCCACATGCAGTCCAGTGACACGAGCGCAAAAGGATCACCATGTGCTTCGGCCTCTCATCAGGATTCCCAGGGTTAAACGGTTTTGCTACGCAGGGAGTGGAACCGGTGACAAGGGGGCCTCGCCTCCACCAGAACACAGCAGCCTGTGCCAGACCTAAAACCACCAGCTCAAGAACGGTCACTGGCAACAGAGTAAGGACCCACACTGGATCCCGTGGCGTCTCACACTCAGGAACCCATACGCACCTTGGGCCAGAGCTCAGTGACAAACCATGATCACCACTGAGGGTGACAAGACACAGGAGAGGAGGCACGAGACTACAAAACACAGAGGATGCAGAAGATGTGGTTAATCCGCACCCTGCGGGACGCAGCGACGACCGTAGGGTACCACGAAAGAGAAAGACGGAGTGGGCAGGAGGGAAGATTTCCAGTGCAAGGACAGGACCGCGGGACTTAGGACAGACAGCCAGCTTCCCAGCACGGTCCGCAACAAAGGCCTAGCACCCGCCTCCCGCAGGGATGACACCTGCCTGCTTGCCCGTGGTGTGCGAGATGCGGGGAGCTGTGCGACACCACACAGCAGGCCACCCTCTCTGTGCAGGGCACCCCCTTAGTTTCTCTGGCACAAGGTTGCCTCAAGTGTGGAACCCGCTGCGGTCCTGAGGCGCCTCTCCAAAAGGTGACCCCGCTCAGGCTGTCAGACCCCTGCTCCCTGTTCTCCACGTTCCCCACCCTGACTTCGCGGGCTCCCATTCCCCTGTGCGCTTCTGTCCCCTTCGGTCCACACGTGCCTTCCGCCAGCAGCTGTCCCTTCATGGACCCCTCACGACAGCACCCCGTCTCATCATTGCCGCAGAAGTTTCCAAAGTTTCCGTGAGTGATAGAGCGTACCCCTCCGGGCCGCTTCTGTTTTCCTAGAAGTCCCCTGGGCACCTGGGGGCACCGTGTAGCACACAAATCGCCACACACACCACGTGTGACTGCAGCTGGGGATCCCCAATCCCGCGGTGGCTCCGGAACCTCACTCCCACATTTCCAACGTCTCTTCGGGCCGCGTTTCTACTTCCCTTCCCTCCACCAGTGCTCAGCTGCTCAGGTTTTACTCTCTGGTCTTCTAGTTCCCAGACCTGGGACCCGTCTCCTCTTTGTAGACTCTCACATTTCGACCTTTTTCTTCTTTGTTCCCATCCCTGGGAAGCTTCAGTTCCCCCGGGCTTTTGTTATCACTAGCACGTACCACAGCTGGTGGCACCCCCTCCAATCCAAGCGGTACATCACCACCTGCTATTTTTAGGGAAGACACGGCTACTACGTGGCCATCGCGCAAGACCTCACTCTAGCCCATAAGCTGAGAAAACTAACGCAGAACTGTAAGGTGGTGACCATCGAGATCTTCAATCGCGTGCCACAAACGTATTTTCCCAGCCTCACTTTGCAAAATTAAAGACTCGCTCAAGGCTCTACGCGTATCTCATCCTCCTCTTCCCCTAAAAAGACGATCCAGGCAAAAACCCAAATGCAATGGAGTGTCCTGATTTAGGGAAGAGGTCTCCAAAGGCCGGCCCTGCTTTTGTGAATCAAGTTTCCCTGCAGCCCAAGCATGCCCGCTCTTTGCCTGCTGCCCGCACGGCGTGTGCCCTGCGATGACCAGGGGAGGAGCTGCCAACAGCCTGGATGCTGATGACCTTGCCCCCCACGGAACCAGTCTGCAGGCCCCTGGATTGAAGAGACTTCACAGGAGACGGGGAGTCCTCGGCAAGATTCGGCGAGAATCTCTAGGCCAGAGATCGCCTGGGTCACACAGGCTGGCAGCAGCGGGGAAGAGCAAGGATGGGGGAAACGAACGCTCGGTCAAGGGAATGGGTTGACAGACTGGATGCAGGATGGGAGAGAAAGACAGGAACCAAGGATGACACTTAGTTTCCGGCCTACACACGAGAAAGCGACAGTTGCTACTTTCAGCTACCAGAGGACGCGGAACCACGCTCCCGAAGGAGGACCAAATCCACAACTGAAAAGTGAAATTCACACCAGTTGTTCTGCACAGAAGCCTCCAACAGCTCACTGTTCTTTCAGAGTAAAAGCCAAAATCCTTACAGTGGTCCAGAAGAGCCCCACAATCAGGCCCTCCTCATTCTGCCTTCATCAGACTCCCTGACTGCTAACAAACACCACCCAAAACTCACAGGTTGAAATCTGATCCCCAATGTGACAGCATTTGGAGGTGGGGTCTTGGGAGGTGTTTAGGTCATGAGGGCAGAGCCCTCAGGAATGGGATTAGTGCCCTTTCCAAAAGACCCCAGAAAGCTCCCTTCCCTTTACACGGGGTGAGGACACGGCGAGAAGACAGACAGACACAAACCAGGAACCAGAACCACGCCCCCGCCGGAGGCCCGCCCTGAGCCCTAAATCTGCGTGTGCTTTGATCTAAGACCTCCCAGTCAACAGAACTATGAGGAATGAACTCCCATTGTATTTTACGGTGTTTTGTTACGCAGCCTAGAAGGGCTATGACATCCAAGTTCACTCCACTGCAGCGACACTGGCCTTCTCTTCCCAAGCACATCCAGCATGCTCCTGTGTCGGGCGTCCACACCTGATCTGCCTGCTGGACGCGACGCTCTCCTCCCAAGATGTCGACGGGGTTCGTTCTCTCACTCCCTATGCTCAAAGAGAACCTTCTCAGAGAGGCCTTCCCAGGGCTCCCTACGTAAATTCCACCAACCAGTGGCCCCTTCCTGGCCCATTTGTTCTTTCTACCCTCCTTTGCTTAATTTATCTCCAACGTATTTATTATTTTCTCATGTAACTCGTTTAATCTGTTCTCTCCCCCCACCTCCTAAAATAGAAGCTCAAGAAATCAAGAATGTTTGCCTTTTTCCTCCTGCTGCCTAAAACACAACAGGTTACCTATAAATAGTTTTGGATGAAACTGGCCCAAAGAATGCGGTTTATGAAAGATCCAAGACACCTTCACTCAAGTTCCTGAGGTTTTGAGGGAAAACAAATGCACATTATAGACACCTATCCAGCGCAGCAGCTGAGCTCAGAAACGCTTTTCCTGCCAGTGCAGGACTCCCTTTCTCTCTCCCCTGCTCTCAACACTTAACGTTTGGGATCACTTCACAGATAGCGCCCTTAAAAAAAAAAAACAACAACAAAAAAACACCTTATCTCGATGGCCTATCTGGCCTACATTCTTCTCTGGTCTCATCCCAGCAGCCACTCTCCCCTCCACACTGTGCTCATGCCAAGCAGACGCTGTTCTGCTCCCCAAAGACCCACTGCTCCCTCCCACCTCCGAACATCCCACCTGTCGGCTCCTCCATGTCGACCCCTCCACGCAGGAAGGTCCTCTCCCGCTCTTCGGCTCAACATTCAGGTCTCCCTACCTCACCCCCTCAAAAACCCTCTGCCCCCACCACGGCCAAGAGGCAAGACCACCACTCCAACTCCTCCTTTATTTTCCTCCCAATCCTTAAAATCCTGTAAAGTCTTACTTGCACACACGAGTCTTACTTATAAAGGCAGATCGTGTGTTCTGCTCGCTATGTCCCTGGTGCCTAGAACACCAGGCAGAAGGAGTGACAACTTCATGACATCTAGTAGGTAGAGCAGGGAGGGGCCCCACTTCACCACTAATGGTGCTGACAGAAGTTAAGAGACCCTCGATATCAGACAGCTAAGGGGATCAGGTCGGACACAAGTGCCTGGGACCGTTTCTATTACCTCACAAGACTTGGGGCCAGACACTAGTAACTCCTCTCCTGTCACCGTAGAGAACAGTCCCTCCTGCTGTTAGAAACTTCCAGTACGTGCACGCCTTTGATGAATGACCCTCCCCGCCAACCAGCACGGCCTGCCTCCGGGCAAGAAATATTTCAAGATGAGCCAGAGCAGCCCCAAACCTCGTCCTCGGAGAGGCAGCGGCCCCGAGCATTTCGCCCGTCACCCGTCGGCCCCGGGGAAGCCCTGAGACTGGGGGAGTGAAGCAAGGGGCCCCGCCAGCGCTCGCTCACGCTGCCCCCCGCTACCACCACCGCATCCCGGTAAACGAGTGCCGGGTTGCAAGCCTAAATAAAGCAAAGGAGGCGGTTCCCAATACAACTGCAGTAGAAAGGGGGTCGGGCAGGGGAGGAGGGGGAGCTTCCGCCGTGGAGCGGGCGCAGCGCGCGCGGCGGGACCCCCAGCCCCACGCCCCGGCCGGCCGAGCTCCTCCGCGCCCCCGGCCCGGGAAGGCGCCGCACCTGCTGCAGGGAGGCGCAGCCCTGACACCGCGAGAGGTCCGCCGCCGTCCCGGGCGCCGCCGAATGGGTCTCGCCCGGCATCATGGTGCCACCGCCGGGCCCGGTGGGCCCGCGCGCCTCAGGGACCCGCGGCCCGGGCCCTGTCCTCCCTCTGCTGACGCCGCCGGGGCCGCCGCCTGCCAGGCCGCTTCCCGCCGGCTGCGGGCGGGTCCATCCGTGCACAGAGGTCCCCGTGGAGCTGGCGAAGGGCTCTCCCAACCGGAGCCGCCTCGGGCACTAGAGAGAAACGCGACCCGGCGCGGCCCCCGAGCGCGACAGCGCCCAGCCAGGACCCCGCCCCGCCCTAGCTCGCCCCGCCCCTCTCCGCGGCTTGGGGCTGCCCGCGGCGCCGCCTGAGCAAAATAGGGAGCGGAGCCGAGCCGAGGCGGCGGGAGAGGCGCCCACAAAGGAAAAGTCAGGGAGAGCAGAGGCATCGGAGGTGCACCCCTTGCGCTGAGTAGGGGGTTAGTCTTTTATTGCCGGCTGGCTCTGTGGCAGGTTCCCATAGACACCTACAGCCCTCAGCGAGGGGGCGGTGACCCCCTTGATGACGTCACTCAGGCGCCTGCAGCAATGGAAGGTCCCGCGCCGGGTCGGGCAGGTGTGCGATTTGGAACTGGAGGGAACCGCTCTGTCCGAGCCCGGCCGGGTACCCGGAGGGGAAGGACGGACTACGCTTCCCGACGCCCCGTGCGGCGGACGACCCCGGGCGAGTCCTGCCGCCGTGGCGCGGCCTTCGCGACAGCGGCCGCTCCTTCCTGCGGGACCGTCGTTCTTCCCGGCAGCTGGCCGCGCTTGCGGCGGTCGGTCGGTCGGTCTCTCTGCCAGGCCCTCCCTGCGGCCCGAAGCCCTGGCTGGGGCGCAGCCGGTGACCCCGGTCACGGACGGTAGCAGGCCGCTCCCAAATCTCAAGTGTATACCCCTTGAGAGGGAAAAAACAAAACTCCTCCCCCTGGGTTTTGTTCCTGGGTAACATTCCTGGGTAAATTCGGGCCCTGATCCTCGGCTTGGACCGAAGGTCTTCACCTTATCCCCCGGCAGCAGAATTCTCTTCTTAACGATCCCAGCTCGTTGCCGTATCACTGGCTGGCTCAGAAACTTCCCGCGGCTTCCCAACGTCCAAATTCTTAGCATTCGATACGAGCATTGTACGTGCTACCTAGACACCCAGACTTCACCGGCTTTTTCCAAAATGTTCAGTACGGACACTGCGACGGGAAACGGCCCTCCCCAGAGAGCAGTCTGGTTCCTCTACAAATACCGCACCCCTGCCCCTTCTTACACAATCCGTGGCTGCCACTTGCTGTGGAGCAAGGGACCAGGGCTCCGGACCTGACAGCCAGATTTCCTGTCGTTGACACCTAAGGCGGTCCAGTACCTGACGGATCCATTTACCCCTGAGCGGAAAACAAGACCAGGGTTTACGGGGAAAGGAGATGAGCAGCAGCGCAGCGGGAAGCAGATGTACCTCGGAAGACCGTCGTGTGACCCAGTAGAGAAAGGGGAGAGCAGACCATGTCTGCGTCCTGGTGACTTTCCATCTCTGGCTTCTGATCCAGACAAACGTGTCTTAACAGTAACTTCCCTTTTATTTAAAGTTTCCCAAATGAGTGTTTTTTCCCAGTTATTTGAGTGGAGGAGGCACCAGCTTACCCTCCAGCCTTATCTCCCTCTACGTTGCCCTCCACACCCACAGCGCACCTGCTGTTGCTGGAACTCAGAACTCTCACTGCTGCCCTTCTGCCTTTGTCTTTCGGCCCGTTTCTTCCCCTTGCCTGGAACACCTTCCTGCCAGGTCTACTGGTTGTCATCTACCAGGTAATCCTTCCAGGTCCCACATTTTATTCCACAACCTGAAGTGACACCTACCTTCTTTTCTTCCCCTTAGCACCAACTGATCTTTTTTTTTTTTTTTTTTAATTTCTTAAACGTTTATTTATTTTTGAGAGAGAGAGAGAGAGAGAGACAGAGCACGAGCAGAGGAGGGTCAGAGAGAGAGGGAGACACAGAATCCGAAGCAGGCTCCAGGCTCCGAACTGTCCGCACAGAGCCTGACGCCCGACGTGGGGCTCGAACTCACGAACCGCCAGATCATGACCTGAGCTGAAGTTGCTCAACCGACTGAGCCACCCAGGCGCCCCCTGACTGATCTTTTTGTAACCCCGCATTTAGACTTGGATTACAGTGATTGTCATGTCTTCTGAGACCTCAGTTTTTCTTATAAACCTCGTGAAGTGCTGTACACAGTAGGTACTCAATGAATGTCAGAGTGAATCAAATTTGCTGCAACTAAGTGAAGGTAAAAAAAATAAGCATTTAACATTCAAAACTGAATGTGCATTCTCTTCTTTTCTCAAACCACTCAAAGAAACAAACGTTTTGTTCGTATAATGTAGGGTAGACAAACTCTACAAAGGGCCACATAATAAATGTTTTAGGCTTTCGGGGGCCACGTAGATCTACTGCGTATTTGTCATTTTTTGGTTTTTAAAGAATCATTTAAAAATGTAAAACTTGGGGTGTTTGGCTGGCTTAGTCCATGAAGCATGCGACTCTTGATCTTGGGGTCATGAGTTCAAGCCCCAGGTCATGTACAGAGATTACTTAAAATTATATATTTTGGGGCACCTGGTGGCTCAGCCGGTTAAGCATGTGACTTTGGCTTAGGTCATGATCTCGACATTCGTGAGTTCCAGCCCCGTGTGGGGCTCTGTGCTGACAGCTCAAAGCCTTAACCTGCTTCGGATTCTGTGTCTCCGTCTCTCGCTGCCACTCCCCCTCTCACGCTCTGTCTCCCTCTCTCTCTCTCTCTCTCTCTCTTTCAAAAATAAACATGAATGAAAAAAAAAGTCTTAAAAAAAATGTAAAACTCATTCTTACCTTGCAAGCTGAACAAAACCACATGTTATATGTGGTGATGGAAACTGACGTAGGGCCACTAATTGAGGAATGCCGAAAATTACATTTTTCCTCTTTCTCCCATTTCCCACAGCCACACCTGTCTCATTGTTGTCATGGAAAAAAGCCAGCAAACGTCTACACTACAGAAAGTGGCGAACAGTGAACTTGGAACCACATGCCTGCCTTTAAATTGTCAAGTGAGTGGCCTATTTGAGCCGGTGTTTTGTTATAAAGGATTACCTGTCATTTAGGGGAAAAGCAACCAGGGCAGATCCAAATCCATAGGATCTATGAAGCAGAGAGTACTTAGTAACACGTTATCGATGGTATCCATTTCGGAAAACGAATATGTCTAGCTTACTTGTAGAAACCTAATTTGTGGTCTCTTGGGTTTGGTTTTGTTTTTTAATCATTTTTTCATAACAAATTTACAAGAAAAACATTGCATTTTTCTGTCCGAGCCTCCTCAGGCCTGGAGGGATGTCTAGATTCTGGCTTCTGATGTGGGGGCTCCCTTGTACATGTGGAGCCCAGTCGGTTGTTTAGAGGAACTGACTCAAAGGCTCAGTTCTTGCCTCACGGCCTCCCGTATACTCAGTAACGTCTCCAGACTAAAGCTTTAGAACGTAACATAATTCGGAGGTTAGTTACACTGATGACTTAATTCATTAATGTAGTCTTCCCCTGAAATGGTTAATAGATTTGGTCTAGAAGCCAAGGAGATATGAACTCAAAACGGAAAGATACTGTTCTTTGCAAGTTCCTATGTTTTGCTTTACGAAGAGCTATTCCTTCGTCTGATGCGCTTCTGCATAATAAAAATAAACCACATTATGTCTTTTAAAATCCCTGGCTACGTTTCATGGAGTGGTTTCCAGCTCTGACAGTTTATAATTCAGACAGCATCTGAAGAAGTTAATTTCTGGACCTGTGATGTCATGCTAACAAATGGCCACCAGATGTCAGTCTTTCCTTGTGTTTTTAGACACAAATGGCCTTTGGAACCACATTTACGGTTCTATTTGTGTGGCATTCTCAGTGGAAGGCACTTTTCAGGGAGCATCTGCCCCCTCACAGTCCATCACGCATGGTCCTAAGCTCTCTTTGCTCTGGTGTCACTGTCCTGGGTTACGGCAGTGACTTGTCCCCACGGGCCACTACTCGGCCCTGGGCCCTCGCTTAGAGCCCAGCTCCCACCCTCGAAGTGATGCAGAGTTGGGGGGAAACGCGGCCGCTTCCTGGAAGATGGAGCTCGCTCAGAAAGCCGAAGAATCCATTTTTCAAGACAAGCATCATTGGGAGGACAATGCAGAACCCATGTGAGTGTTAATGATGAAGCATGACTTTAAAGGACTTTCACGGTTGTATAATCCTTTCCACGGGAGTTCAGGCTCACTCCCCTCGTGGGGTGTTCCGTGAACACCAGGCAGCAGTAAACCGCTTGTCCCGAGTCGCTTCTGGGATTTGCAGAGGGAGGTTGGGGTCTCGGGGGCAAGGGAAAGAGGCTTCCCTCAGGGAGGGCTGGTGGGCAGGGTGCGACCCACCCACCCCAAAGGAGAGGGAGGGAAGGAGGGAGGGGGCTGTGGGATGGCCCACCCCAAGCCAGGCACGTGCCCTGGTGTCATTCCAAGGGGACCCACTCCTGAGGCTGTGGGAGGTGGGGCGCGCGGGGAGTGAGCCGCACTTTTGCGGGCGGGGGACAAAAGGTGAGGGTTTTCTGCCCACTGGATATCGTGGGCCTGTTGGTGGAAGCCGCCGGGGACCCAGAGGGCGGCCCGAGGGAGGCAAGCTGCCTGGCAGGTGTTCCCGATGCCACGGCCAAGGCAGAGTGGAAGCAGGCAGCCGGACGCCCAACGTGGCTCCTCAGCCACCGTCAGAAGCACTGCCGCTGGGAAGGGTCCGCTTGGGCCCCCTCCTGGGTCTTGTACCAGCCGCAGACCAGGCAGGGCAGTGGCTCAACAGCGTCAGGTTTTCCGAGGCATTCGAGAACTCCCCGGCCCCCCCGGCCCCTGGCGTGCAACTACCTTCTCCCGGTTGACTGTCAGCAGCTGGGGCCTGGCCCAGAAGACCCTCTGTGCTCCTCACTTGCCCCCCCAGGGGGCAGAGAGGAGCCGCCCCAGGGCACTGAGGGGTAGGGAGCTCCCGCCTCCCAGCCCCACCCCTCCCCTGCTACCCGCCCTGCGGTACTGGGACCCTTGAGCCGGGCCTGCTGGGGACCCGCAGACTCTGCCCAGAGGCTGCTCCGCAGCGATGGGAGGAGGGAGAAGGGCCTGGGCCTCCCTTTTCGTACTGGCGGATTCCAGGCCCTGCCAGCGTCTCTGCCTCGCTTTGCCCTGGGCCACATCCGAGTCCTCGGAGAGTCCCTTCCCAGCCCCACAGGGCCCCTCCTCCCACGTCCGAACCTGAGCTCCAGGGGACGTCCTCCAGGCGTCCCTTCTTGCAGGTTCTGTCCTTTGCCCGAGGTCACCTGCAGCCTGCGGGGTGGCAGGTGCCTCTGGCAGCACCGAGGTCCCCGTCCTGAAAGGAGGCGACTCCCCCCCAACAGCCTGCTTGTCCACGTCACACTCTGACCCCAAGCTGAGCAGCCTGTGAACCCAAGTCACCGCAGAACCAACCACGAGGGACCGTAACTTCTCCTCCGCCTGGAGGGCCCAGGCCCTGGCTGCAGCAGAGAAAAAGCCCGCCAGGCCTCCCCCAACCCTAACCCCTCCCCCTTCCCCACCCCGCCAGGCCTCCCCCTCCCCCAGCCTCCCTGGGGCATCCCAGCACAGGCTGGAGCTCAGCCGGTGGGAGAAGTCAAGCCCAAGACAGGAGGTGAGCGGCCAGCAAGCTGTGCTGGGCTTCGTGTGGACGGAGACGCCTGCGAGGCCACGGGCCCAACACGGGGTCCAGGGTACCAGGGGCCCCAGACAGCCCGCGCTGTGGGGACCGGCGACAGAGAGCTCGGTCAGTGGAGTGGCTTCGCGGTGGCTCTGCCCAGGGTTGTTCTTGCCCACCTGCTGCACTTGTGCGGACCCTGCGGTCACCGCCCTCCCTCCTCTGCCCCCCCCCTCCCCCCCGGCCGTGCCTCGAAGGGGGCTCCAGGCACCTGGCTGCGAGGCCGGCCTGCACAGGACGCCCCTCTGGGCCGCCACTGAGGGGCGGTGCCTGGCGTCCCGGTGGCGGCTCCTCCCCTGGGAGTCTCCTTAGTGCTGCCGTGCAGGCCCGGTGGCTCGTCCCCTTGTCTGATTTGGCTGTCCTCCCCGCTCGGCCCCCTCGCCTCCCCACACGGCCGATCACCTGCGGCCCTGCTGGTGCCACGTCCCCGCCGTCCAGCTCCCCTCCATGGCCGCCACTACCATCCGGGGACCGGCAGCCCCTGGACGGCCCGGGAGCCCCCCACAGCCAGCTCCCGCCCTTCGCCACCAGCCGAGATCGGTGTCCAGCTGTCCATGAGGACGACACCGCCGACAGGAGAGAGGCAGACAGGCTCTGGATCGATGCACCGTCTCCCTCTCCACCAGAAACAGGATTTGGACTCCCCTCCACCGTCGCCAAGGCTCCCCGGGCTCCGGTCCGGGCCACGCTTCGTGCCACGTGACCCCACAGTCCTCCGGATCTGGCCGGCCCTCTGCCTCACCCGGTCTCAGCCCAGATGTTACCTGCTCAGACCTTCCAGGCCCCTGTCCCCCCCTCCCCCCCGGCTCCTGCGTTTTCCTTTCCCACAGTAGCCCTGTTCTCCCAGGAGGAAGATGAATGTGAGATGTGAAGGGGCCTCGCTGTGTCCACGCCAGACCTCATTCGCTGTCCTCCCTGGACTGGGGGCGGAGGGGCAGCCGCCTCCCCAGCCCCTCTCCGCCTCCCCCAGCTCTTCTCCGTCTTACACGCTTCCTGCAAACGTACCTTAACAGGGGCCTCTTCCCTGCTCACCTCCACGTGCCCTGAGACCAGACCCAGAGACCACGCTTCGTCCACCTTCTGTCTTCCCTTCCCCGGCACTCGTTCATCACACGGCAAACGTCGCCGGATGACCGCGTGCGCCAGGCACATGGCGCCTTGGGGAGGGGAGGCCGGACACGGCCCTGCCCTCGGGCCGCTCGCTCCCTGGCTTCCTGCGCAGCCCCTTTGTCTGCCTGGACCCTCCTCAGCGACTCGCTCCTTCCAGGCGCCCGCACCGCAGGCCCAGCCAGCTTCCAGCACCTTCCAGCGCCAAGACCTGCTACGCGATTTGCGTGGCCCAGTGCAAGATGAAAACGCCAGGCCCTGTGTTCAAACTTACTGAGGCTTTGAAGGCACCGACAGCAAAGCGTGAGAACGAGAGCGGAGGGGGCACCGCACGCCCAGGGAAGCTCCCTGCCAGCGGCCTCCTGGCCACACCCCTCCCGGCCCCCTCGCCTGCAGGGACAGGCCTCCTCCCAGTCCAGAGTCACAGAGTCACCCCACCCTCGCCCTCAGACTCTGCGCACTGAAGGGGCGCTGTGCCTCTAATGGCCCAGCCCTCCCTGTTCTAGGCACGTCCATCCGGCCGGTCCACGGGCACCGACCCATATCACCCTCACCAAATTCAGATTCCAGGTCTCACATTGCCGTTTCTGTCTGTCCGTCCAGGCCCTTCGTGATTCCAGTTACACAGGAGCTCTCCTGCCTGCCCACGCTGGATGTCTGTCCTCTCTCCTGGGGCCATGGACATAAGACCCAAGGGAGCCCTGGGATACCTGCCGAGTGACCCCAAGAGGAGCCTGAGAGTGGAATGTTCCTAAGAGGGAACGTTGGGGGAAAGGCGGCTTTGGGAGCAGCTGACCTCACAGGATTTCTAGGCAGATGGAGTGACCACGTGTGACCTGGGGGACAATGGACTCGATATCAAGGGGGTCAGACCTAGAGGGTGGGGGATTCTGGGCAAACACTTAGCAGGACTCTTGAGGACAATGCAGAGATGAGCATGGAAGCCCAGAAGGCGGGGCCTGGCCGAGCAGAGGGTCAGAGCCTGGCCAACGCTGGGTCAGGAGAGACTGTCGCGATGGGAGGCAGCTACTGACACGGGGCTCTGGTCCCCACCACAGCACACCTGCCACCAGGCCTCCTCCGGGATGCCTCCTTGAGGAGGGCTCTCACTGCCAGAGAAAACGGACCTGCGCCAGAGTGAGAGCCGAGGCCTGGTGACGGGGCTCCGCTCCGAGGAGGTCCCCCAGGGCGTTTCCACATCAGACACCTGGTAAAGAATCTCCCAGCCTTACCACCTCGGGGCTGAGAGGGTGGGTCCCTGCATTGGGGTGACAGGAGCAAGGCGGGCGTCACAGGGATCCCTGCTCACCGATGCCCTCGCTAAGGCTGTCCGCTGCCTTAGTACCTGCCTGCTGGTTTAGAACTGATCCCCTGGTCCTTCTAGGTAAGTCTGAAGGAGGGGGTCTCTAAGGGGCGCTGTCCAGGGAAGGCTGCGCTCCTTCAAGGACGGACTCCCTCGTGGGAGTCCCAGCTGCTGAGTGGCCCAGAACCCAGGGCAGCTGTCGCCTGCCAGCTGCACTGCCCACCCTCTCCCCCTGCCGCGGCCCTGGAGGTCCCTCCCCGGGGGTCTGGTGCCACCTCCCTACGTCCAGCACAGAGGCTAAGCCCTCTGCTGACCTCTGGACGTGGGCCTCACAGGGTGCCAGGCGTTCTGTTGTAGGGTTCCTCGGAGACCGCTCTGATTTTCCATCCCTCTCCGCGTGGGGGGCCCTCGTGCCGTCCCCTCCACCCGCGTCCACCGTGCGCCCTTCCAGCCCCGTGGGTTCAGGTCCCACGGCCTCCGCCCATGCGCCCACATCCTCATGGCCCCGAGCACCTGCTCTGGAACTGGTCTGTTCCTGCACTGCCTGACGTTTCCTGGGCTCCCCTCCCTTAGCACCCCTACCTTGCTTACCATCATCCACGGGACTGCCTGAGGTCTGGTGAGCCCTATTCAAGGTCTGGCACGACCTAGCCCCCTGATGTCTTCAGTCCCACGCGGGCAAGTATTGTCACAGATTTGTGTGCTTGGTGTAGGGGGTTTCCACTGGGCTCTGCTAGGGGGCCTGAGGCTGGGGGCTACTCCGAGCGGGTCTCCTGGGTCTCCAGCCGGGGCGATCCTATGCCCTGTGCACCGTCCCCCACGTCTCACGCCAGCCTCCAGGAACACCTGGCCCAGTCCCATGGTCGTCGTAGCTGTCTCCGGACTTGCCCCACCACCCGGGGCGGGGGTGGGGGTGGAGGGGGGAAGGCACAGAAGCTCTCTGGTGGGGAACTGCCACTCTACATCTAAGCAGTGGCTTTTGAGATGTTCTCAGTGGCTGGAAGAAGGCCATTGGGGTAAAGGGAAAGGCTTTTTTTTTTTTTTTTTCTGGAGAAGGAGTGAAGAAGCAGTCATTCACCAAAGAGTTGTTGAAAGGATCAATGAACACATGAATATGTGGATATTCATCTGAATAAAAGAATAACCTTGTGAGAATAAAAAACACCGGGAGCTCCGGCAATCACACTCCTTGGTATTTAAACAAATGACTTGAAGACGTATCTCCATGAGAAAGCCTGCACACGTTTACAGCAACTTTATTACAAATTGTCAAAACTTGGAGGTAACCAAGATGTCCCTCAGTAGGTGAGTAGATAAACCGGGGTCCATCCAGACAGTGGAATATTATTTGGCACTAAAAAGAACTGAGCTGTTGAGCCGTGAAAAGACAGAGAGAGGAATCTTAAATGCGTATTTTTAATTTTATTTTTTTTAAGTTTATTTATTTTGAGAGAGAGAGAGAGGACATGATCGGGGAGGGGGCAGGGAGAGACAGAGACAGAGAATCCCAAGCGGGCTCCGTGCTGTCAGCACAGAGCCTGACATGGGGCTCGAACTTACAAATTGTGAGATTGTAATCAACAACAGGACACTTAACCAGCTGAGCCGCCCGGGCACCCCAAATGCATATTTTTCAATGACGGAAGCCAATCTGAAAAGGCTACATGTTGCAGGACTCCAACTCTGTGACCTTCTGGACAAGGCAAGACCGCGAACACAGTAAAGGGGTCAGTGGCTGTCACAGGTTGGGGGAGGGGGGGCTGCATAGATAGAGCGCAGAGGATCTTGAGGGCAGTGAAACTACTCTGTGTGGTGCTGTAATGACACATACACGTCATCCGTACGTGCATGAAAATCCATACAGTGTCCAACACCAGGAGTGGACCCTAACGCTCCCCATGGACAGGGTGTGAGGATGTGTCCGTGTGGGCTCATCAGCTGTACCAGACTTACCACCCGGATGCTGACGATGTCGGAGGCTAAGCACAGTGTGGGGGGCAGGGGCACGCGGGAACCCTGTACCTTCCGCTCTATTTTCCTGTGAACCTGAAGATGCTCTAAAGAGTAAAGTCTATTAAAAAAAAAAAAAGTTGCAGGCGCTGGAGGTGACAGTAGAGAGTCTCCAAGTCAGAAGTGAATTTGACATGTCGAAGCATCAGAAACCAGCTCAGAGTCTGGAGTGTAGAGAGTGGGGAGCCACTTACCTGGTGTTGATTGCTTGGGGGGCAGGGTAGCACCTGCCGATGCCACCAGGGTCTTGGAAACCAGGGTAGACACGTTTTACACTCTAGGTGCAAGGAGCCGCCATAAAGAGTTTTCAGACACGGGGGTGGCATTCTCAGATTTGCATGAAAACCTTTGGTTCCGGCTGCCTTCTGGAAATAGACTTGGGAGCCTGGGTGTCGTCTCCCCAGTTGGGAAGGAAGAGTTGATGCTGGGTAAGTGGGAAGTCAAGGATGTGTTGATTCAATGACGTATGCAGCCTAAAAGAGGTTTACTTTTTTTCGGGGAAAAAAGCACACAACACAAAACTCTCTGGACCCCAGAGTGACAAAGAGCTTTTTTGAAAAGCAGTGTTTTGAGTTTCTAAGTGGTCTTGAGAAGCCACGGGTCTCAAAACTTCCTTATTTCTGAAACTGATGATTCAGATTGTGAGTTGGAATGGTGTTATTCTAAGATCGTGAGAATATAGTACATTCTGTAAATTATCCAGGCAGAAAATTATTGCCAAGAAGGGGGTGGTGGCGAAAGTGTCTTTCATTTAGAATAAGTGTGTAGCAATTGTTTGAATTTTAGATAAAATGATACCAAACATCTTCGGCCAGAAATTGTCCTTTGGGCTCATCTTCAAACCCTGCTGTGAAGAAAAATGGTGCTGACTTGAACAGTGCATTCCAGATGTGTAGCGAGTGCTCCAAGAGTTGGAGACCATATACCAGAATAAAAAAAGAAAATAGCTTAATGTTCTTTATCAAAAGAAAGATAGGGAAGTATGACCCCCAAATGTCTCTTGGATGCATCCCGTTGAACTTGTGGTTATATCCTGCATCTCTATTTAAGAAGAGATTTCGGGGGCGCCTGGGTGGCGCAGTCGGTTAAGCGTCCGACTTCAGCCAGGTCACGATCTCGCGGTCCGTGAGTTCGAGCCCCGCGTCGGGCTCTGGGCTGATGGCTCAGAGCCTGGAGCCTGTTTCCGATTCTGTGTCTCCCTCTCTCTCTGCCCCTCCCCTGTTCATGC